CTGGGTTCAAGCAATTCTCCTGCCTCAGCCTCCTAAGTAGCTGGGATTACACGCATGTGTCACCACGCCCGAGTAATTTTGTATATTTAGAGACGGGGTTTCTCCATGTTGGTCAGGCTTGTCTCAAACTCCTGACCTCAGGTGAACCACCCACCTCAGCCTCCCAAAGTGCTGGAATTACAGGCATGAGCCACTGCACCCTGCAAGGTACTATTTTTGATTTATTTTCTTGGTAGTTAAGGAGTGCTCCAGGGCCTTCCATATAGCTCTTCCTTTCCAAATGCTCTTGCCCCATGGGTTAGGAAGCCAATGTCAGGATTCTGCCCCTGTTGATGCCAACAGCAACTCTCCATAAACCACAGTTTCAAAATACATAGCCCAGGAATGAGGCTGACTTCACGCAAAACTTTTACTTTTCTTCCTTAAGACTACTCAAGTGCAATAGTGAGAAGGGAGGAAAGAGTAGAACAAGGAGTTCGATCTGGAACTGACTGTGAACAGTCAAGATAACTCACTACCTTCGGATCAGCCAAAACTTTTACTTTTTTAAATCTGTGCCATGTGCATGTATTATGCAGTATATTCACAAAAAGAAAGGAGCGGGGGAAATCCCATTTTTAACAATTAAATACATAGTATTAAGTTTTTTTTTAATTCTCCTTTGTTTACCACTCCAAAATCCTCTCCTGCACATACTACTTTTTTGGAAACACCTAGTCATCTCATCTTTATCACACTGGTTGTACTATGTACCTACATGTCCACCTTCCCCTTCAGACTCAGGAACAAGGAGTCAGGTCTGAGTGCCGCTGTCCCAAGGACAGAACGCTGGACTCCCCGTAGACCACACGTTGTAAATAAAGATCTTCGTCCCTTTCAACTCAGGCCGTCCAGGAGACCAGGAGTTCTGACTCGATGACGTACGGCAACCTTTTGCAGGCCTTTATGCTGCCTCAATAGTTCTCCCCTGCAAAATGGGAATGATCTGTACCTGCGTCGCTGTGCTGTTGGAAGAAGGAGTCAGCCGACAGGTGTGAAAGTACCGTAACACTAAAGTCACACATCCATTAATTCACTCATCCATTTAACAGGCAATTATTAAGTGCTAGGGGGTGCCTCGCTATTACCATCGCGTTACACGTGTTCCTCCGGCGGGTCGCATCCTTCCCGTCCAGGATAGGGGGAAAAGGCGTCTCCCCACCAGGCTTTTCTCCCACGGAACTCCGGGTGGTGACCTTATTCAAAATGGCGCAGGCGGCCTCGGGGCCTAGTGCGGCGGCGCGGACTCCGCGTACCCTCTGACCTGTTGGCAGCAGGCGGAGGGGGAGCCGGGCGCCGCCATATTGGCTGTTGTCCTGTGCGGGGAGCGGCGGCGGCGGCGGCGGCGGCGGCGCGGCGAGTGGGGCGAGGGAGCGGCGCGAGCGGCAGCATGACTCGGAGGCGGAGCAGGCCGAGCGGCGGCGCGGGCAGGCGCGAGCGGGCTCGGGCCGCGGGGCCGCAGAAGCCCCAGGCGCCCGAGCCTCCGCCGCCGCCGAGTCTGGAGGCGGGAGCGGGTGCAGGCCCCCCGGAGGCGCCAGCGGAGCCCGACCGCGACGGCCCCACAGAGGACGACGAACCCAGCGTGGTGCCCGGCCCGCAGGTAGGAGCGAGCGAGGCGACTTCGGCGGCTCGGGCGCTTTCACCTCCCCGGAGCGGGAGCGGGAGTGGGGCGGGGTTGGGGCTGGGCCGTCCTGCCGCGGCTGGGGCAGCAGCCTTCCCCCGGGTCCGGCGCCGAGGCTGTCTCCTCAGGGGCGGGAATGGAGCCTGGACCCCTGTCCAAAGCCGAGGCTCGGTCCGCGCTCCTGCGGCTAGGCTGAAGCTGCTCCCCCTCCCCGCCGCCTCCGGGCCGGAGCGGAGACTAACGTTCTGGCCGTGCACCCGCGCTGGGACCAGGCTGTGGTCCCGAGGCCGCAGCTCCGCTCTCGGCCGCCACCTCCCCCTGGGCCCCCTGCTCCCTCAGCCGCAGGCCACTCGGGGCGCTGGGGCTGGAAGGCTGCACCTCTTCCCTCTCCCCCGGGGCGGCCCCACTCCGTCCCCCTGTGCCGCCTGCAGCCGCGGCCCCCTCAGCAGCTGTCTCCTGGCGCCTCCTCGCCATGCCCAGCAGAGCAGTTGGAGCAGAAGCCAGGCTGCGCGGAAGACTTTTCGGTGGGGCTTCTGCACTGAGGTGGAAACCCAGCAGAACCTGCCATTTCTCCCCTCCCCGGCCCCGCAAGGCGGCCCGCCCGACCCCCGCATCCCGGGTTTGGAGAATCCTGCTGAGCGTGTGCAGTGGGAGGATTCTCCAAAGCTTCCAGCTTGCCACCTGGAAGAAGGTCACTTTCCTTTGAGCAAAGGCGATAATGGGAGGTACCCTGCCGGCGTTCACTAAGAGGCGGGGGTGACAGGGGCTGTGGTTGCTCGGGGAGGGTTGTGGCACTCGGGGCTGGGTGGCTGTCCCTAAGCTTGCTCTGACAAAAGAGTTTTGAGTTGGTCTTTTGGCTGAGCCTGCCCAGGAAGGCGGGCCCCTGCAGGAGTCTTGGAGGGTCGGATGCGGCGCCGGATGAGGATGAGGCGTGGCGGAAGATGCGTTTGGCTCTGCAGACACTGCATCGGGCAGCAGGGGACTCTGGGAGGCTGGTGCAGCCAGAAGGCATGGCTCTTGACAGCCTTCTAGTAGAATCTCTGGAATTGTGCATGTGAGTGGGGTTGCCGTTTGGGGTACCTTCCCGCAAAGCCTCCCCTGACCTCCCCAGTTGCGTCAGGTGCCCCCTCTGTGCCCACAGCCCTCTGTGCCTCCCTCTGGTATCGCTCCCCTTTCTGTGATGAAACGTTCTGTTGATATGTCTGTTACCTGCCCTGGACTGTGAACTCCACAGGGGCACAGGCTATGCCATCTGTCTCTGATCCTCCACGCCTCGTCCAGAACCTTGCTAACACAGAACAGAAATAACTAGGTGAATGAGAGAGAAAATGAATCAGTCCAGAACCTGTGCTTATTGTAACCCAGTTTTCATGATGATTTCCTTTGTGTCTCAGATCACAATAAGGTTTTTAATTCATGAAAATATCACCACTTATTGAGTGTCAGAAGCTCCACCTTCACCCCCATCCCCATCTCCTATCTTAGGCTGACACTGGTTCCATAGGAGACTCCCCAGATTGTAACCCGGACCCCTACTGGGTCTAGCTTCCAACCCTGAGGCCGCTTCCCCCACCAGCCTACCCTGGGCCCTTCTGGGAGTGCTGTTGTCCTAAAAGGAGGAGTTGTTGTCTTCTCTTCTTCCCATTCAGCAGACCATAGAATACTTCAGGGTCTCTGCCACATAGAGATGCTAAAAAGCTTGGATGATGGCTCAACAATTCAGGTTTTATTGAGGACACAACTTTGCCAAGGGCTCGAAGCTTCATTAATTTCTTTGAAATCTAGGTTCCTACCATATTCTTATCTACTCCACTGCTTGACCTGCTTCATTCATTTGTGCTGGGCACTTAACATACCTTACTTCTAATCTTTCCACTTCCCCTGTATTTCTCCTCAGCTTTTAGCACAAATATGATGAATTAACTATTAATGTGATTATTTGTTTTTATTTGTGAACTCTGCGAGTTCAGGTGCCATGTCAGTCACCGTTGTACCCCTGTGCCTGGTGGTTAACAAATGTTGATCAACAAACTGGAGGATATAAATATTATTACCCCATTTTTCAGATGAAGAAACAGAAACTCAGAGCAACTAAACATTTGCCCAAATGACTCCAATTATAGGTGTCAGACAAAAGAAAAGAAAAGGACTCTTATGTACTTTAGGGGATTTTAAACAAGGCTTTTTTTTAACTACAGCCACAAAGAAGGGAAACAAATTGGTAAATTCGATTCTGATTATGTCCCACTTTTACTGGGGGTGGGTCTGGAAGCAGGCTTTTGTGCCATGATGCAAAGCCCCTAGTATAAGATTAGCGTTCAGTGGGAGCCAGAGTTCCTCACCAAAGACATTGTTCTGCCTATAGGAATGTCTTTGATGAGGAACTCTGGCTCCCCCTGCCACTCATAATCCTGTCTTACGTATACAGAGTGGCTAAGGAAGGTGAAACTCAGTGTCGTATACCAAACTGAATCCAAAGGTGACAAATAAGACCACTTCCAGTCCACAGGCTTGTTAGGCTCACACATTGTTTTGTTTCTGTTTTTGTTTTCATTTGAGCCAATATTTTACAGATCAAAAGGTTTCCTACACATATTTGGGGCTCTTTTTTAAACTAAAGATACGGTGATGCTGGGCCCACTTTTCCACAAGGCGCTGATCAGTAATCTCTGAGTAGCATTTGGCCCCTTTAGATAGCATATGCTCCTTAGGCCTCTTCTGGTTCTCTCCAGGCCCTTTCACTCATTGGCATAACCTGTATACATTTAAAGCAAGACCTTGAGCTTAACTGGGATCCCAAATGGCTTAACTTTCAATTTTTTCAGGCCACTAAACCACATTGATCTGTTCCCTAACAATCCAAATCCTTGTTTACATCACAAGAATACTGAAACAGTTACCACCTTATTAGCAAAGGAAAAACAGCAACAACTACAACAAAAAACAACTGAAAAAGCAATTGAAGGAGGCAGTGGGGTATAGTGTTTAGAGACTTGGATTGAATTCCCAGCTCAGCCTCCTAGCTTTGTGACTCTGGGCACATTGCTTCTCTCTGACTCCATCAAGAACTTCACGAGAGACCTTGGTGTCTCACACCTGTAATCGCAGCACTTTGGGAGACTGAGACTGGAGGATCACTTGAAGCCAGAAGTTGGAGACCAGCCTTGGTGACATAGTGAGATCTCTGGCTGTATAAAAAAATAAAATCAAAACTTAACTGGGCATGGGTACACACCTGTAGTCTCAGCTACTTGGGATGCTGAGGCGGGAGGATTGCTTGAACCCAGGTGTTCAAGTTACCCAGGACTTCAAGGAACATGCCACTGCACCCCAGCCTGGGGGACAGAGTGAAATCCTATCTCCTTCTTTAAAAAAAAAAAATAATAATAGGCTGGGCGAGTGGCTCAACGCCTGTAATCCCAGCACTTTGGGAGGCGGGGCAGGTGGATCACCTGAGGTTGGGAATTAGAGACCAGCCTGACCGACGTGGAAAAACGCTGTCTCTACTAAAAATACAAAATTAGCCAAGTATGGTAATGCAGGCCTGTAATCCTAGCTACTTGGGAGGCTGAGGCAGGAGAATCACTTGAACTTGGGAGGCAGAGGTTGTGATGAGACAAGATCTAGCCATTGCGTTCCAGCCTGGGCAACAAGAGAGAAGCTTTGTCTCAAAAATAAAAATATAATAATACTTCACAAGAGAAGCAACCTATGTAGCAGCTAGTACATAGATAGGCACCTCACTTAAGAGTTAGAGGTGGCAGGAGCTGTGCCAGGTGGCCATACAAAGCCTGAGTGTTCTGACCTACTACCTCTGCTCCTGTCTGTCTTCTCTCTTGGACCACTCAGTGTGTAATCCAGGTAAACACTCAGTAAGTCCCCAGGAGACTTGCTAGGATGTAAACCAGCAGTTGGTGAGGAGAGGTGAGCTCATCCTACCCTTCCCCACCTTTTGTTCCTCTCCACATCATTCTCTGGGACTTTGCCCGGTCT